TGCACTGACCCTCCTACAAGGGATAATGAGAAACTGAGAGCATTTAATAAACAGCTGAGAACCAAGTGTGAGAGCCAGAGGGCCTCTTTGGTAGCTTGCAAAGAAGTCTTCTTCTCCTGCTGTGCAAGAGCAGGCCCAGCCGAGCGGCAGGCTGATGATCTAACTGTCAGAACCCAGAGCTCTACAGATGTTTGGATGCTCAGCCAAAGTAGTCTCCTATGCTAAAGTCAGGAATCTGGTTGGAAAAACATGGGGCCTGGACCCTGAAAAGTGGGGCAGCGACATCTAGATGGATGGCCCTGTGAAATGTGGCTCTGCAGACTCCTTTGGGACCCCGGAGGGAGCTTGCAGAGGTAGCCTCCCTGTCGAGAACCAGTAGTTTCCACATGGGGAAAATACTGCATATACCAGAGCTTTTTTTTTTTTTTTGAAAAAACAACAGCCTCCCAACCCCAAGAAAGCAAGAAAGTGCCTCCACATCTTCTTGTGGCTGCCGGGTTATAACCAGGGTCAAGTTTCAGTATAACCTGGCTGAGGGTAGGCTGGGCCTGATAAAGGAGAAGAGATTTTACTCTAAAGGAAGTGGAAGAATTAACTACATCATGGAGAAATTGGATGCCTCATACATTGTTAGTGGGAATGTAAAATGGTGCAGCCACTTTGGAAAAGTCTGGCAATTCCTCAGAAGGTTAAACAAGGCCAGGAGTGGTGGCTCACACCTATAATTCTAGCACTTTGGAAGGCCAAGTCAGGAGGACCACTTGAGGCCAGGAGTTCAGGACCAGCCTGGGCAACATAGTGAGACCTCATCTTTACAAAAAAATAATAAACTGACCTGGGCGTGGTAGCAGCCTATGATCCCAGTTACTCTGGAGGCTGAGGTAGGAGGATTTCTCAAGCCCAGGAGGTTGAGGCTGCAGTGAGCTGTGATCATGTCACTGCATTCCTGCCTGGCAGCAGGGCAAGATCCTGTTTATTTGTTTGTTTGTTTTTTTAAAAAATCAACAGCAGCAACAAAAAACCCCAAAAGGTTAGAGTTTCCATATGACCCAGCAATCCCACTTCTAGTATATATGAAGACAAATGAAAACATTTGCAAACAAAAACTTGTAAATGAATGTTCATATCAACATTATTCATCACACCCAAAAAGTGGAGCCAACTGTCCTTCACATGCGAAGTAGATAACATTTTGACCTGTTCCTTTCCTACTCCAAGAGCCTCAGGCAGCATCACTGTCTGAGGGCTCTCAGAATGCCTTATGCACAGGCATATATTCCTACACCACATGGCATCTGACCAGGGGACCCACTTCACAGTGAAGGAGGTGCAGGGGTAGGCCATGATCATGGAATCCAATGGTATTATCTCATACAATATGAACCCAAAGCAGCTGGCCTCATAAAAGGGTGAAAATGACTTACTGAAGGCACAGCTGAAATGCCAGCTTGTATGCAATATCCTGCAAAGATGGGGCCATCTATAAGGATGCAGTATATGCACTCAATTAGAGATGTCAGACGTGTCCCCACGTAGGAAGAACATACAGGTTCAGGAACCAAGGGGTAGAAGTAGAAGTAGCCCCACTTACTATTACTCCTACTGACTCACTGGGATTTTTTTTCTCCCATCCCTGCGACTCTGAGCTCTGCAGAGTTGGAGGTCCTGATCCCCAATGGGATGCTCTCTTTCTGTGGATACAACAAGGATCTCATTGAACTACAAGCCATGGCTATCATCAGGGCACTTTGCATTCCCCGTGTTCAGGAACCAGAAAGCAAGAGAAGCCTCTAACCTGGAAGGAAAATTGATACTGCTCAGCAGGAAGAGTGTCAGGTGTCTTCTCAAAACTGCAATGGCACCAACTTTCACAGTAAAAGCTTACCAGATCCTCCATAACCTGGCCCAATGTTACCTTTCTGATCTCCTTTCTTTTTTTCTCTCCCGCTTGCTCACTCCACTGTAGCCATGCTGACCTCTTTGATGTTCAGTGAGCAGACAAGGTGCTTTCAGGACTGGGGTCTTTCATCCAGCTTCATGAGATAGAAGAAACAAGAAAGGCTACAAAATGCAGAAGGAGCTCAAACGAGAGATGGAGGGTGGGAGATATTTTATATAATTACACTAATTTATACAGAGCCAATGACAGAGTTGGACTTTTTAACTCTTAATTTTTAGAACAAGCATCCTCACTGAGAGGAGGAAAATATTAGTGTGGAAAATATTGATGAGAGAAACCTCTCATCAGTGTTTCTCTCATCAATATTTTCCACATACTCATTGATTAGTGACTAAAAAGTTAGACTGAGACAAAATCTTCCTGGAGAACGAACAAAGTTCCATCTTTGATAATGATTAGTAATAGCAAACTTATTTTTGAGATATGCTAAATGTCAGGCACCAAGGTAAGCCTTTTACATACTTTGTCTTATTTAATCCCTATGAAATCTCTAAGAAAAAGGAATTATTATTCCCATTGTGAAATTCCCTTTCCTACACATGAAGAAATAGAGGCTCAGAAAGGTGAAATACTTTGCCTAGGTCATACTTCATGTAGTGGCCAGCTTTAACCACAGCTCTTTCTGAGTCTAAGACCTATATTATTTTCTCCACGATTTGCTTCCCCTTAAGAGAAAGAGCTAATCATTACTTCATTCATGCATTCACTTATCCATAATTTAATAAATGTTCACACTGAGTGTTCATGTGCCAGGCTTGGCCTGATTTTGCTGATACAGTGGCAAATGAATAGGCAGGAGCCTTACCTTCATGGAGGTTATTGCCTAATGGTGTAGCTGGACCGTGAATCAAAGAAGTTCAGGTCTCTGAAGCGCAGCTGACACAGCATGTGCTGAGAATGACATTTGAAGGAGGCGAACAAAGATTACCGTTGACCTAGACCTTGACTATATATTATGCACAGTAAATACATACAACCTTGGTTAAGACATTGACTTTTTAGCTTCATCAATTTTGAAATGGGTATAGTAATAATACATTTCTTGCCAAGTGGTTGTAATCTCAAATGAGAAAATGTGTGAAAGGCCTTGGCAAACTGTAAAATAGTCAACAAGGAGAAAGGGTCTTTTCTTTCCTTTTCCTTTTTGAGACAGGGTCTCATTTTATCACCCAGGCTGGAGTGCAGTGGCACAATTACGGCTCATTGCAGCCTCCGCCTACCAGGCTCAAGTGATCCTCCTGCCTCAGCCTCCAAAGTAGCTGGGACCACAGGTTTGCATCACCATGGCCAGCTAATTTTCTTAATTTTTTGTAGAGACAAGGTCTTGCTATGTTGCCCAGGTTGGTCTCAAGCTCCTGGTCTCTAGTGATTCTCCTGCTTTGGCCTCCTAAATTGCTGGGATTACAGGCATGAGCCACAGTGACTGGCTGGTCTTTTCTTTATGCTAAAAAAATTCAAACATATACTACATTAGAATAGTGCAATAAACACCCAGACACGTATCAACCAGCTATGACCAGTTATCAACTCATGGCCAATCATGCTTCATCTTTAGCCAGACCCTAATTACCCATTTTTTTGGGAAGCAAATCTTTGACTGCCTATATTTTTATCCATGTATATACCTCAATGAGGGGATTATCTTAAAAAACATAGCCACAAATACCATTATTACTCCTAAAAGCATAAAAACAAAATTTACAGCAATTCCTTAATTTTATCAAATATCATAATTTGACTTAGTGGTCAAAAGTCCCTGATGATCTCAAAATTTTTGAAATCAGTAGATGTGAATTAGTATTTAGATAAGGTTCATATATTGCAGTTGGCTACTATTTTTGTTTGTTTGTTTGTTTTTTTGAGACACCGTGTTAGCCAGGATGGTCTCAATCTCCTGATCTCGTGATCTGCCTGCCTCAGCCTCCCAAAGTGCTGGGATTACAGGCGTGAGCCATCACGCCCAGTCTGCTATGTTATTTTTTAATCTGTAAGTTTTTCCTTAATCTTCTTTTTGTTTTGTTTTTGCATTTTGTTCGCTTACGAAACTGTAGAACAGTGGTTCTTAAACTTAAGTGTGCATTAGAATCATCTGGAGAGCTTGTGAAACCCGGGATTGCTGTGTCCAGTCCCCAGGGATTCTGATTCCGTATTGCTTTTTTTTTTTTTTTTTTTGAGACAGAGTCTTGCTCTGTTGCCCAGGCTGTAGTGCAGTGGCCTGATCTGGGCTCACTGCAACCTCCGCCTCCCGGGTTCAAGCGATTCTCCTGCCTTGGCCTCCCAAGTAGCTGGGACTACAGGTGTGCCCCACCATGCCTGGCTAATTTTTTGTATTTTTAGTAGAGATGGGGGTTTCACCATGTTAGCAAGGATGGTCTGATCTCCTGACCTCATGATCCGCTTGCCTTGGCCTCCCAAAGTGCTGGGATTGCAGGAGTGAGCCACCATGCCCCACCTCCATATTGCATTTCTAACACTTTCCCAGGTGATGCCAATACTGCACTCAGGAAGGACACTTTGAGAACCATTGTTTTGCATATCCCACAGTCTGGATTTCCTTATCCCTTGGTAAAGTATCCTTACACATGTTCATCTTCCTCTCTATTTCTTGTTAGGAGGAACTTATTTAATTGTCTGCAGTACAAGATAATGGTTAAAACTCAGGGTTTAAAGTTAGATTCCCTGCATTTAAATCTTGCTTTTGATATTTATGTCATGATGTTGGGCAAGTCACTTCACTGTTCTGTGAACACAATATTACAGGGTCTTTGTGAGGATGAAATGAGATTTTAAAAAGTGAAGTGCTTAGCATAGTACTCTGGCACTTAGCAAATGCCCAACAAATTTGATTGTCATTTTTCAACCAAGAAATCATAAAGGGGTGCACGGTCTGTGGAAGGCCTTGAGTTTTGTGTTTTGCTGCGTTTTGACGTCAGCACAGGCAAGCAGGAGCGCCAAAAAAGAACCTATTTAAAAGTGAAGAACAACTCTCCTGGCCACTTCGTGTCATCTCAAAATTCTGCCCCTTTAAGGAGGGCTCAGCCACGTGACCCAACGGGTCACATGGCTCGCGGGACAACATGGCTGCGCCCGCACTAGGGCTGGTTTGTGGACGCTACCCTGAGTCGGGTCGCGTCCTCTTGCTGCTGCTGCTCTCGCTGCTGTGTGGAGCGGCAGGGAGCGAGGAGGCCGGGACCAGTGCGGTCGCGGGGTCCCTTGCGGGTTCTTGCGGCTGCGGCACGCCCCAGCGGCCTGGCGTCCATGGCAGTTCGGGAGCCGCTCACCGATACTCGCGGGAGGCTAACGCTCCGGGCTCCGTACCCGGAGAGCGGCCGCTCGCGCACTCAAAGGTGCTCCATCGATTCTTCCAAGGCGGGTGGGGGCTGCTGGGTTACTGGACCGGGTTGGAGTAGGCAAAGCAAGGGACTAGTAGGAAAGGAAGTAAAGGTTATAACCACACCCCAAATCGAGCACCTGCTGATCCCGTATGAGGAGTTCTTCCTCTGTGCCTCACCGGAAGACTCCGTTTAATTGACCATTAGGGAGTTTGGTTTGAGGATTATTGTTACTTCTTTACCCCCTATTTCTTCCTTCCTCCAACCTATTCTCTTGATGAGGGTCTCAGAATTTTAAGTCAATCAAATTATGGTTTAAATCACCATTTCCTCTCTTATTAACGGAATAAATTAGGATCCTGGGTTTCAGTATCTTCAACAGGGTTGTATACTTATCTGTAGTCTCCTCGAGTACACTCTGCTTGAGGACAAGGGCTTGTATTGTTTAGCCTGCTATTCTTAGCACTTTAGCACATAGGAAGGACTAAGCAAACTGTAGTTGTTTTATTACTATTATTTATCTGTGTCTTGCTTAGCGCCTCTATGTGTTAGGTGCCAGGATATATAAATAACTTACTGACCGGGCGCGGTGGCTCACATGCCTGTAATCCCAGCACTTTGGGAGGCCGAGGCGGGCGGATCACGAGGTCAGGGGTTCGAGACCAGCCTGGCCAACATGATGAAACCCCGTCTTTACTAAAAATACAAAAATTAGCTGGACGTGGTGGCGGGCGCCTGTCATCCCAGCTACTCGGGAGGCTGAGGCAGGATAATTGCTTGAACCTGGGAGGCAGAGGTTGCAGTGAGCGGAGATCGTGCCACTGCACTCCAGCCTGGGCGACAGAGCAAGACTCCGTCTCGGGAAAAAAAAAAGAAAAAACAAAAAACTATTACTTCATTCTGTCTGCCCGGTATTTTGCATGTTGGTGTGTTGTCGAAACAATTTATGGAACTAGAAGTCAGGTGTTCTGACTCTTAAACTAGTGCTCTTTCTTGTTTACTTAGCGGACCCTATCCTTTTCCCATTCCATTTTTCTTTTCTTTGGGTTAATCCTGACTAATATTTAGGGCTTAGGTGAGAGGTAACATCCACAGCAGGTTTTACCTGACCGCCTCTCTTTCTCTCTCCTTCAGTATTTTCATATCCTGCCTCAGTAGTATGTGTTTACTCTGACATAACAATTATTAAAGATGTTTTTCTGCTGATGTCTCTCCCCAATTGGACTGTGAGGGTGATAGGGTCAGGACCATGATTTAGTCTCTCAGGTGTAGAGTGTAGGAGGTTGATACATGGGCTTCTCATTGTTTTTCCATCCTGTATAATTTTTGGTCTTTAATTTTTTTTCTGTTACCCCTTAGAGCATGCCCTGCAGCATTGTGTATCTTCTGTGTGTTGAAGACTCCTGATTACTGTTTTAGTGTGTATTGGCCATACTTGATTTTAATTCCTCTCTAACTTGCCGATAATTGATAATCAATCTCTCCCTCTTTCTTTCTTTCTTTTTTTTTTTTTTTCAGAAGGAGTCTCGCTGTGTTGCCAGGCTGGAGTGCAGTGGCGCCATCTCCGCTCACTGCAGTCTCCACCTCCTGGGTTCAAACGATTCTCCTTCCCGCCTCAGCCTCCCAAGTAGCTGGGATTACAGGCACAAGCAACCATGCCCAGCTAATTTTTGTATTTTTAATAGAGATGGGATTTCACCATGTTGGCCGGATAGTCTCAATCTCCTGACCTCGTGATCCGCCCGCCTCGGCCTCCCAAAGTGCTGGGATTACAGACATGTGACACCGCCCCCGGCCAATCTCTCCCTCTTTCTAAGGAGAAATCCTTGCATCTGTTTATCTATTTTTTAATAGGGAGCCATCTCATTTGCATATATGCATTGGTCTGTCTCATAATTTTGTCTAGATTCCTCTGGCAAGCCCTGAACATTTCTCATTTTTAAACATTCTGTTTTCCTATGGGTTCCAGAATGGATGTGGATGCTAGAATCTTTTGAATTATGTTTACAAGATGTACATTTTTCATCCCTATAGAGTGGTTTTGTGTCTTGATTGATGCTATATGGGTCATCTTTGGCCAGTTTTTATAGTCTGCTTTCTACACTGTTTAGGGGCATCTCAATTTATTAACAAATTAGTGGTTGATGAGAATATACCTTCAAGCCTTCAAGGGCACAACCTAATGACTGAACCTGAAGTAGTCTTGTTGCAAATGTCTTAGTTCACGTGCAGATGACTTTGGTCTAATTCTGACACTTTGCCATTTATTCTAAATTCAGGAACTCCAATATTTCAGGAGAAGTAAATGATCATAGTGGTGGTTCTGCTTTTTTTTTTTTTTCTCTTTGTTTTCTGTTTATTTGGTTTAATTCAACAAATGTTTATTTGGTACATTACTGTATAACACTTGTTATATAAGATTCATCCTATGTGCTGGGCATACAGAAAAAGACCCATACACTACCCACATGGCATTTACACTCTGGTAGGTGTTTCTCTCTCTCTCTCTCTCACACACACACACACACACACACACGTAAGCATCTTTTTTCTGTAGTGAGAATGCTATAGGAGAAATATGTCCAGAGTACCTGGAGAGGAAGAAAGAATTCATTCTTCATGGACAAGTCAAGTAGTGCCTCAAAGAAAAGGTCACATTTGAGCTAGGCCTTGGAGGAAATATTTTTAGGAGCTGGGAATGGAATTTCAGATTCAAGGATATTCCAAGAAGGAGAATAGTATCAACACATGGCACACTGTGGAAATGCATGGTGTGTGCTGGGAAACATAAGTGATTTAAGATCTGGGAGTGACCTGTTCGCACTTTTTAATGTAACACTTTTTCGGTAAGTCTTTTTTTGTTTTTCTATATTCATACAATGAATGTGTGGCAAGGTGAGGGACACAGAGAAATAACACTGGGCTTTGCCCTCAAGAAATTTTCAGTTTCACTGGAAAGTTATGGCAATTAGAATTGTCTGGGAAACAATATAGACATTTAAAAATTTGATGTGTATTCCCTCTGGTTATAAAAATACAATTCTCATTGAGAAAATTATCTTAACAGTTTTCTGCACGGCTTATGATTGTGTAACAAGGAAGCAAAATGTTTTAGTCTGCTTTTATCTTTTAGAAGAGTTATTTGAAAGGCATTTAGGATCATCGGATGCTAAGATTGTAGGTAGCATGTCTGTACTTGTGGATAAAGTCAGTCTTGATTTCCTGTCTGAGGAGGTTTCTGTCTGGTAATGCTTCCCTGGGCATCCAGGCACAATCGAATGTCGTCTCTTCCATGAAACCTTTCCACCTCCTACAAAGAAGTAGTTTTTCTATCCTCTCAGTTCCCATAGCTTATTTTGTTGTTGTTTGATGACAGCTTGTATATTTTCTTTAATATAGTGCTAGTGTTTTTTTTGTTTGTTTTTGTTTATGTTTTGTTTTGTTTTTGAGACGGAGTCTTGCTCTGTCGCCCAAGCTGGAGTGCAGTGGCGCAATCTCGGCTCACCACAACCTCTGCCTCCTGGGTTCAAGTGATTCTCCTGCCTCAGCCTCCCAAGTAGCTGGGACTACAGGCATCCACCACCACGCCTGGCAAATTTTTGTATTTTTAGTTGAGATGGGGTTTTACCATGTTGGCCAGGATAGTCTCGATCGCTTGCCCGGCCCTAATGTAGTGCTAGTTTTGTAGTTGTCTGATATTCTACATTGGAAGCATTTTTAGATGTTTTAATCTCTATATCTTCCACGTGCCTTGTACATTTTAGGCATTCTGTAATAATTTCTTGAATGACCTGTTTCCTTTTATGGTGGATACAATATTGAGAAACTGCCTTGGGAATAAAGAAGGTCACATCCTCTTTCAAGAAACATTTGTAAAGTATTCTTTTGCTCTATTCATCCTCCTGAGAATCCTGTGAGAGAGATTGTCTCCCACTTTACAGTGAGGCAACTGTGGCTTAATGGAATCATATAGCTCAGAACTGCAAGAAACTTTGAATGTCATTTCATCTATGATTAGTGTCTGTTTGTAGAGGCAGGAGGGTGACAGAATGGTAAAGATAGATAAGCCCTGTATAGATAGATAAGGCAGGGGTTTGTGGACAGATCCAGAGAGCATGCTTCTCTTATTCACCCAGCTTTCTCATGAGCCTTTAGCTTATTTTATTTTATTTTATTTTATTTTATTTTATTTTATTTTATTTTATTTTATTTTATTAGAAGGGACTCAGAACAAGAGCCTTTAGCTTTTAATGTTAGGGCTGAGGAGAGGAAAGAAGGAAAAGGAGAAGTTACACAAAAAAGTTATGTATGATCTTATTTCATCTTTGTGTACAAGACAAAAATCACTAGCAAGTGAAAAAAAGACAAGACTGGCTTAAGCAGGAAAAAACTGGAGGGGACATTTATAGCTCTCCTGGTTGGAAGTTCAAGAGTAAATATGGTCCCAGACACACCCGGATACAGGGCCTCAGGCAGCATCTCCAAGGCCTTTCTCTTTGGCTATCTCTTGGCTCTTCTGCTCCATTGTCAGGTAATGTCCTTTCTCCTACTGATAAGATAATGAGAAGAGAAAAAGTTCTTTCCTGGTAGCTCCAGCAAAAGTTCAAAGATGAACTTTGATTGGGTCTTGGGCCTATCCCTAATTACATCTCTGTGATCAAAAGAATGCTATGGTTGGCCAGGCTTAGTGGGTCGTGGGAAGTAGGATAGAGTTATCCAGTACCCCTGGGCCACTTAGAAAGCTTAAGAAATGGTTTTGGAAAGGAACTTCAATATTTTACAAGTAGAGGGAGTGGGTGCTGGATGGACCAAAATAGCAGTGCCCACTGCACGTGGCCTAAATGTGTAGCCCACATACGGTGCTGTTATTCCAATGAATAATAGAGTCATTCTTGACTTCACTTACACTTCTGGCTTGAGTGGCAGTGGCAGAAGCTGTGGTGTGGCGGGAGGGGTTTATCTCACCTTCAGATTGGAGGAGATGTGGATTCTTTGAATTTGGACCTTCAATGAAG